TTTTGCCTTCTTCCTCATTGCTCGCGCTGTTGCGCGCTCCTCCCTCCTCCCCCCCTCTCTCTCTTTCGCATACGCACAGACACACACACACACACACACGCACAGACACACGCACGCACACACTCCCCGCCCTGCCTCCCTGCCCGTGTGCTCTCCTCTGCCCGCTGTCCCGCGCGTTCTGCCCCCTTCGAAGGTCGCTGGCCGTTTCCTCCGCAGGTGCGTGATGGCTGGCAAGGGTCCGGCCCCGGGCGCACCGGGTTTGGCGGCGGCGGCGGCGGCGGCGGCAGCAGCAGCAGCGGCGGATCCGCCCTTCTCCCTCGACATCGAGGGGAATGTCCTGCATTTCCGTCATGTGTACCACAACCCCGGACGACCGGCTGTCCGGCAGGTGACCGTGCTCAATCGCCGCCTGGACCAGGTCCTGCGCGTGCAATTGCGCTCCTCGCTCAATGAGCAGATCTCCTGGCGCCGTGAGGGGGTCTCCCTGACCCCGGCGGTGGTATATCTCCTGCCCGGGCAGGCGACGCGATTGGAGTTGGTCTTCTCGCCGGGCTTGACGCCCGATGTTCTGGATCCGGTGGCGGCGGCGGTGGCAACGGCAGCGGTCACTGCCACGGCGAGCTCCCACCCCACGGCCTCCTCGTGTTCCTCCTCCTCCTCCTCCTCCTCCTCCTCGAGCTCCGCCTCGGGAATGGCCACGCCGGCGGCCGAGCCAGGCACAGCCGCATTGGGCTCGGACCTGGGCTCGAGCGCCCGTGACCTGGCCGAGGACCCGCAGGGCGACAGTCTGTTTAGCAGTTCCTCGACGGACAATGTGGCTGGCCTGGGACCGCCGGCATTGCCCAGCCGGCCGGAGGGCCGGAGCATCTTCTCATCCTCCTGCTCCGAGCTACGGGACAGCCAGTTCGATGATGTGCGCTCCGGTGCCGTTGCCACGGTGGGCGGTCATGCTGGCCATGGCAGCGGCTCTGCAGGCCAGGAGCAATTCCATCCGATCACGGTGCGTGCCCTGCCGGTATCAATGTTGCTGCCCGCTCGTTCTGCCGACATTCCACGCTCCTTCCTCCGGCCCCTTCACTGGCGCCCTGTCGCCTTCGCCCATTGACTCTCCCCGGCGCACCTTCATGCTGCACCCTCGCATGGACAGATCAAGGGCACGGTCTTTCTCCTGGCCAAGGCTCTGCCGGCCGGGGACTTCTCTGACAGTGGGGCTGAGTTTGGTCAGCCCGGCCTGCTGGCCGAGATTGACGAGCGTTTCGATCGTTCCGGGGACTTTTTCAATGTGCGTTGCGTCTACCATCCCAGCTGCAAGTTCGAAGTCACGGCTTTCTCTCTTTCTCTCTCTCTCTCTCTCTCCCTCTCCTTCTCCCTTCCTCTCTCTCTCTCTCCCTCTCCTTCTCCCTTCCTCTCTCTCTCTCCCTCTCTCCCTCTCCTTCCCTCTCCTTCTCCCTTCCTCTCTCTCTCTCTCCCTCTCCTTCTCTCTCTCTCTCCCTTCCTCTCTCTCTCTCCCTTCCTCTCTCTCTCTCCCTTCCTCTCTCTCTCTCCCTTCCTCTCTCTCTCTCTCTCCCTCTCCTTCTCTCTCTCTCTCCCTCTCCTTCTCCCTCTCTCTCTCCCTCTCCTTCTCCCTGACACGCCCCCTCCCTTGCCCGCGCGACATGTGGCCGCGTAGATGCCCCTCCGCTTTTGGGCCAAGGTCTGCGTTTCGCGCCTGGCGGTATCATACCCATGGGACAACCTCCTGCTGCAGCGCTGTGTCGTTGGTCAAGCAAGCGAGCGGGAGCTGGAGCTGCGCAACCTGAGTGCCTTTCCCCTTCGCTGGGCGGCCCGGGTTCGGCCATTGAAATTCCGCTCAAGTGTGCCGGATGAGTTGTCCCCGGGGCCGAGCCCGGGGGCGGATCCCGCCGACGCCCATGTCGACCCGGCCACCGCCAGCTACTTCACCCAGGCCGGCATTTTTCTGGCCTCGCAGCGTGAATCCTCCGCGGTGGTGGCCGGGTCTGGCAGCCCGGCCGATGGGAGCCTCTCCCTGCGTTTGGCCTCCGGGGCCGGGCCCGACCTGTTGGTGACCGGCCCAGCCGCCAGCACCGCCGGTTTGGGCCACATGCCGGAGATTCCCCCCTTCGGGCGCCTGCGCCTTGTCCTCCGGTATGCCCCGCAGCAGGCGTCCAATGCGCGTTTCGGCTTGGATTTCGTGAACCTCAACGATCCGGACAATGCGCGGTCCATCATGTGCGTCCCTGTCGCTGTCTCTCTCTCTCTCTCTCTCTCTCTCT